TATAAACCTTTGTGAAAACCGCAAACCCCCTAAGCCCTAAACCACCGAACCCTAAACCCTAAACCCTAAACCCCTAAACCCCCTAAGCCCTAAACCACCGAACCCTAAACCCTAAACCCCCGGACCCACCAAACTCGGACGCGGACAACCTCACGGCTCGGCAGTGGGGGCGGGCGGCCCTGAGCCTCAGGACTGCAAGGGTTTAGGGTTTAGGGTTTAAGGGCTCTTTGAGAGGATCTAGTTGAAGGGATCTTTGATTACAGTATAAGGGTTCTATAAGGCTTTTTCAACACCTATGAAGGCAAAAACAAACAGCCCTAACGTTATAAAGCACATTTATAAATTAACTTTAGCCTTCCAAAAAAACCTTGTGGACACAGTATTGTTCAACAACAGCCTCAGAAGTACTTTTGAGGTGCCCCTGCAATCCTTGTACAGCGCCATAAGACCCTCAGAGTTCAGAAACCCAAAACACTCCTACAAACAGATCCCTACGAGACACATGATAAAGCAATACTGTAGGGGCCTTAATAACTAGAATGTGTTCTTGGGCTCCTTAATACTATCTAAACTAGGAACCTTCAGGAATAGTATTGGTAATTATTTGGGTAGTTCTCTAACTTCGGGTCCCTTTTGGGGTCCTTTTTACAAGGGTGCCGTACTATATTGGGGACCTAAAATGGGACCCAATTTTAGAGAACTACCCATTTAGGCTTCTACATTAGCTACCTTTGTTTGCCTCCCTCAGAAAAAGTTTGACGGTCCACGGGGATCCTCGGATCCGCACACGTCTGGGAAGCCTTAGCCACGGTTCGGGGTTTAGGGGTTTAGGGGTTTAGGGTTTATGGTTTTAAAGCTCCTAGAATCCTAACCCTAAACCCTAAACTTGGGTCCTAAGTGTCGTATAGTCCCTTTTCGAACCCGTCTGGGAACACTTATTATAGGAACCCTTAATCTAGCCCTAGCAGCCCTAAGCACGCAGTATCCTTTTCGTGCGCTTGTTTAAAGCTCCTGTACTATCGCCTCGAAGCAGCTTATATTATAGTCCTAAACCCCCAAAGCCCAAATCTTTAAAGCAACCCTTGCCAAAAACCCTAAACTAAACCCTAAACGCCTAAACCCTGCACCCCTAAACCCCTTAAATCTAAACCCTAAACCCTAAGCTCCGTGCAGCAGGTCGGACTTCCTTCGCCCTCTCCGGGCTGGGAAGCGGAATGCCCTGGCTGCTACCTCTGGCATACGGGTTTAGGGTTTAGGGTTTTCTCTTAGTTTTTTTCAGGAGTTTGCATGGGGTTTTAAGAGGCATGATAGGGTTTTCCTTTGGGTTTGATGAATGTTTGGCTTGGTTTTCCGGGTTCTCCAAAAGGAGTTTGGCGCTGAATGGTTTGGGGTTGCATGCTTGGGGTTTCGGGTTGGGGTGGTTAGCTTGTTTCCTCAGGATGCTCATGCGTTTTATTCCCCCAAGCAGTGTGGTGACGCTCATGCGTCGAGCGTAAAGAGTGAGTAGATTGCTGTCCCTGCGCGGCCTGCGTCCTATTATCTGCAGTCTACAGCAAAGGCTGCAAATCGGGTCGCGGCACGCGTCTCTCGGTGTCGTGCAGTACATACTTTCGGCTGACGCCCGATATTTTACAGAGGATTCGCTTGCCCCACGCACTCCGGGACCAGCATTTATTGTAGATAAAAGTGATACGGTTGATGATATAAACCCTGCATTACCCAGAATAAGGAATATACCATAATTCCCATAGTTGAGGGTCGTTAAGGTAATGCAGGATTTATATCATCAACAGGTGTGGCATGCTTCTGATATAGTCTGGAATCTCCGCAGGCACAGTCAGGTTTTCAAGGCGCGGGTATGTGTAAGGGTGCAGGCCCTTAAGGACGGAAAAGGAACTTAAAAACAGGGGCCCTATGAAATTATACGATGAACCTCTATATGGCTATATGGTATCTGAACCCTAAACCCTTTTAAGGCTCTTTTCGTCCTTAAGGGCAAGGCTGTTCAAGGTTCTGGAGAGTGTTTTATGAAGGATCCTTGGAGCTTTTCTTCTCTGTCAATACGGAGCTTTTAGGGTTTAGGGTTTAGGGTTCAGGGTTATGGACTCCATAAGTGTTTCACCGTTTTTGTTACAGGGAGGGGTTCATGGTGCCAAATTTCTACAGCCCTCATCCCCGAAGCCCTACCCCCTAAATCCGAGGATGCTGCAGTTCAGGTGTTTCTTGGTTCAGGGTTTAGGGTTTAGGCACACCTCCAGTCAAGGCTCACTAGAAGTACCGTTGACGATATAAATCCTGCAGTACCTTAAGGACCCTTAACGATGGTATCTTCCTTACTAGGGGTAATGCAGGACTTATATCTTCAACTGTAGTGACGACAATGTCTTGAAATTCTAAGACCACAAAGAACCCGAAGCATCAGAATATGGGTAGTTCTCGAAATTAGGGGCCCCTTTTAGGGTCCTTTTTATAAGGGTGCCGTACTAGTTGGGGGGACTGAAAAAGGGACCCAACTTTAGAGAACTACCCA